AGCTAAGATTAGAGCAACATCTGACAGCTGTGGCTAGGGGGACCTTTGCACAGGTTCGCTTGCTGCACCAATTGCAACCCTACTTGGATCGGGAGACTCTCCTCATGGTCACTCATGCCCTTGTCATCTCATGGTTAGATTATTGCAACACGCTCTACATGGGGCTACCCTTGAAAAGTGTTCAGAGACTACAGTTGGTCCAGAACGCAGCCGCACGAGCTGTCATGATACACCCACATTACACCAATTCTCCGCGAGCTGCACTGGCTCCCTATTGGTCTCCGGTCATAGTTCAAGGTGTTGAACTAAACTAAAGGTAAAGTTATTACCTTTAAAGCCCTACATGGCTCAGGATCAGGGTATCTTCGAGACCGCCTTCTACTGCATAACTCCCAACAACCGGTAAGATCCCACAGAGTTGGTCTCCTCCGGGTCCCGTCAGCTAAACAATGCCGGCTGGTGGGCCCGCAGGGGAGGGCCTTCTTTGTGGCTGCCCCAGCTCTCTGGAACCAGTTACCTCCTGAGGTCCGGACCATCCCCACCCTATTGGCCTTCTGAAAAGCGGTGAAGACCTGGCTCTTCCGGCAGGCCTGGGGCCGTTGATCTCGCTGTTGCGACTTGGCGAGATCCGGCCATGAATGGTGTGAATGGGTTTTAATTGTTTTTAATGGTTTAACTTTTAATGTTTTGTATATGGTTTTTAAATGCATGGTAAACCGCCTTGAATCTTCGGAGAAAGGCGGCATACAAGTTGAATGAATAAATAATAAATAAATAAATAAATAAATAAATATTACAGAACATCTTGGAGAGCGAGCGACTTCTCATATCTGGTTTTCTGGGCTGGTTGTCAACCTTTGTCGGACTTTGTTCTTAATAACTTTGATAAGGACCCTTTGCATGGGAAGCCTGCATTCTTGAAAGGGGTTTGTTTGGAATTAAACAGTGTTAGCAAAGCTTGGTGTGTTCACATTCTCTGGGAATCCGAAGCTGGGGCAGAACAGAAGACTTCTTGTTTTCACCTTTGAGCTCAATATAAATGTCCTAAAATTGTTTTTTCCCCTCCCCAGAAAGTTTAACATCTTACTGAGCATTTAGTATGCAGATTTATAATACTTAATCCCAGTCCCATAATTTTGATAAAAAATTTGATTCACTTCTCAGAGATTGTGAGTATAAGTTTTGTTTTTATTAAAACTGTGAGGTAAATATATTTAGAGTTAAAAACATTTTAAACAAATAGATTTTAAAAGATATTTAAAAACAAATTTTAAAAAATTCTTCTTAAGTATAGACCAAGCAAAAATCAGAAACAAAAGAGGTGAATCAAATGTGGAAGATCATATAGCTTTTTAAAAAGCATAGTTCAAACTACAATCATTCTAATTATATGAATGGAATGAAGTAGGCAAATATCCCTTGAAATGCTTTAAAGCATTTCCCAGTTACAGATGGGAAGTGAGCACCAGGATCTATAGCCCATACATTTGGAGAATATGGGTAGAAATGGACTGACATGATTCTCTTCCCCCAGAATTGTCCACCATAATTTTCAAATTGAAGGTCTATTTTAGGTGTAATCTGATTTTTGTCATTTAATTTTTTCCCGATTATGATCTTTTAATCTTTGTAATATCCTATAAAGTATCTACTATTGCAAGAGTGTACAACTTTCTTTGAATCGAAGGCTGACTAACTAGCAAGACTTTGAAAAAGATAAGACATTCTGCTCCTATTTCTACTTTTATTTTGAGGACGAAAAAAAGTCATCAGCTCCCCTAATGATATTTTGGCAGAACTATCCCGTGATGTAAATAAAAACTGCTCAGGTGCTGGGGGCTATGTGTGACCTGTAGATTGTTCACCCTTGCTCTACTGCATTTTTATCTAACCACAGAACTACATATTATGCAGTTTACAGTTTTATGAAACTCCAGACACTTTTTTAAAATCAACATATGGAAATAGACATCTTCCAATGCTTTTAAAACTCTTCCATTCCCATCTTGTAGCATCATATAAAATGTTGCTCTTTTCAATTTATGTTTCATGATTGATAGATATAAAACTAGCATCAAGATTAATGCAGTCAAATGCTTTGACCAAGATTAATGGTTACATGCTTTATTCATCATTATACGTGCTTTTTCATCATATTTGCAACTTTAGTACATAAGCTATTATGAGATAACTGAAATACTTCAGTTCAGATATCCACTCAGCCATGATACTTCCTAATTGACCTTGGGCATGCATGATTTCTCAGGTTATCTTACTTCACATGATTGCTTCTCAGTTAGGTATATATATTGCCAAACTTCAAATTTCTGTGTGACTTAAACAATCCAGATAAAAGAAAATGCATCCTGAAAGTATATCCCTCGTCAAATAATTTTAAGACTAAAAAATCTGTTATACCTACATTCTAGGACTGATTTTTATCCATGCTAAAATTTATCTTTCCCCTTTTATTAGTGAGAAGGACTCATTCAATATTAAAATACCAGTATCTATATACAGTACACTTAGTCCTCGACTTACAACAGTTCACTTAGTGACCATTCAAAGTTACAATGGCACTGAAAAAAGTGACGTATTACTGTTTTTCACACTACAACCACTGCAGCATCCCCATGGTTATGTGATCAAAATCCAGACACTTGGCAACTGACTCATATTTATGATGGCTGCAGTGTCCTGGGGTCATGGGATCCCCTTTTGTGAGTTTCTGACAAACAAAGTCAACGGGGAAGCCAGATTCACTTAACAACCATGTTACTAATTTAACAGTGATTTACTTAACAACTGTGGCAAGAAAAGTCGTAACATGGGCCAAAACTCACTTAACAAATGTCTCACTTAGCAACAGAAATTTTGGACTCAATTGTGGTCGTAATTCGAGGACTACCTGTATAGTAATTTATTAAAACTTATATGTCACCCAATTCTAAAAGCAGGATACTTATCTGCTCTGGCCCCATCAATCTGAGCTCATATTTTGTTGCTATGCACATTTAATATATACATAAAATATATATGCATGTGTGAGAGAAAAAGACTGATGGGTTATTGCTTATATTCTACATCCAAGGTTGTTTAATTATTGTAGTGTCCCTAGGCTTATTTATATACATCTTACAGTAACTGGTTGGTTGGTCCATCTTTTAAGAGGGATTACTTTGACAACATGAGTCACCTTCTCAAGTTCGGAGATAATATTCAAATACTTTCTCTATTTTCACCCTAGTTGCAATCCAATGGATCTAAAAAAAATTCTTTTTTGAGTACATGTGCAGAGAACTGTGGTTGATTGTCTCACACTGAAGACTTCTATGTTGACTGAAAGGCGGATGATATACTAGTGACATCAACAAGATGTGTTTCCCCTCCTGTTAAATAATACCATTTTTGATAGTACAAGGTTAACTTCTGTTTCATAGTGCCTTTTTCTGATAATGGTTCAACAAAGGGGACAAAATCTCTAATTGATTGACTTTACAACCCAATCACAAATATTTGAATTAATTTTATGCATTAGCATCTTTCTAGTAATGTAACACATTAATAATTATCTTTTCAACATTTCAATTCACACCTAAGTTTTGGATTATTGGATACATTTTTTCCATGTTGCCATGAGTATCTACTTAACCAAAATATTAACTTTTGAATAAATGGCATTATAATGTTTTTTTTTTCTATGTTGATTTTTGGCCTCATTTTCTCATTGTAGACATTTATTAACCTGCATAGAGCAAATCTTTCCTAAAATAAAAGTAAACTTATTAAAATGCAGGTATTAACAATTCAAAAGGTACTAATGCAACAAATCTGAAAAGAAAGTATTTTTACACTTGTTTAAAATTTGGTATTCAAGTATATTGCTCCACAAGAGAAAAATGCCTTTTTTAAAAATAAAAATGAACCAAAGATCCTTTTTAGTGTTTTCTAACCCACAACAAAACCTCTACTTATATACATATCACATTTTCCCCCTTAAAACAAAGAGTGGAGGAAGGGAAATGTAAGAAACCAGAGCAACAGTTCTGAATATATCTTGTTGCAACAGGGAGTATCATGATACATAAGTATCAACAGTATTGTCATTCATGGTTCATTTACCTCTATAGAACATGTGAACCTTAGCATTTTAAACTACTACTAACCCTGAACTACCGTATTACCAGTTGTTACCTGGATTCCTACAATCCAGTAGATGTCCAAAACCTGCTGTACTTACTGTAAAATTAATACCTGCAACCCTAGAGACAGTTCCTAGCACCCAAAGAAACACATCACTTAATCTTGTGAAACTCTCCACAGGCAAATCTTTAAAACTGTCTGTCTCTCTATATAGATCCATCCCAAATCTTCAAAAGAGCAATACCATTTACAGAGTTAAAGACCTTTTTTTCACGCATCTCCAAGTTCAATACGACATTCCACACAAAAATTCCAGAAAAGAACATTCAACAAATACTCCATCCTCGAATTCTTCCATTCCGCACGGTGATAAATTGCAAAGATCCAGAGTCGAAACGGGTGTGTTGAAGCAAATAGGATTCAGACGTGTCATACGTGTGTGCATTTGTATACACAGCGCATATAATTTAAAAAGCACAAGAGTGTAAGTACTTTGGGCAATCAGCGCAAGGTCTTTTATCCCTAATCTGGGAAGCGAAGATAAGAAGTAGTGATGAGGAGGGGAGGGGAGGTGGAGGGAGAAACTGCTGTCATAACAACCTTCCACGAGAACTACCGAAATAGCAAAGAAAAAAAAAATAAAAACCTCTGAAAATACTACACAGCTCACGGTGGAATAAAAGGAGATCAGAAAGCGTGCCGCAGAACCCCGCGAAGAACACAAAGAAAAAGAACAAGACACCCCCCCCCCCCAAAAAAAGGAAAGGCGATTTTCCCAACAAAGTTCATTTGGGGTTTACCTTTCTGCATTCTCTCCAGAGACCAGAGGAGGAGGTGGGGGGGGGGGAGACACTTACCTATGCCAAAGCCTCATTACAAAAAAGCCCTTGGGAACCAGGCGGGCCCGTCTGTCCTCTCCTTCTGTCCAGCTCAGATTCTTTGCGCTGTCCAGAGAAAAGATCCTACGGTAGCGCTCGCCGGAGAAGGACTGGCACAACCCCAGCAAGCTAGCGGGCGACCAAGGGATTTCTTTTTAAAGACTTCTTTGTACGGCAGAGAAGCGAGGAGGGAAAGGGGAGAAGGCTGCTCGGGCAGGAGGAACGGAGGGCGGGAGGGGAAGGAAGCCTCCAGCCTCTATTCAAACGGCTCCTTAAAAAAATAAAACGGTCCCTCAGAAGTTTTTTTTTTTAATGTCCTAAAAACAACGGGGGTGGGGTACGGGTTTTTTTGGGGGGATTGGGGTGTGTGAGACGGTTCAGATAGGACTCACCGGAGGGGCTGCTTTAGAAGGCTCAGGAGGTGGCTTACAAGAGCCGGGGATCGCCAACGGTGACCAACACGCGTGAAGGGGGAGGTCAGAGGACACGTGCAAAAAGAAAAGGTGGTTCAAAGAAGGGCAGCGCTCTGGGGATTTCTGGAGAGTCGGGTCTTGCAGGTCCGAGCTGATGTTTTTATCTCCATTTCTGGGAAAGCCTACTCCCCTTCCTTCTCTCTCTCTCCCCCCACCTCTTTACTCCTTCCTCCAAGAAGTCTCGGCCAGTCCTCTCAGGGAAAGGGCTAAGGAAGCCATCCAGGCGCGAAGCAAAAGCAAAGGCGCCTCTCGCTGCGGTAGGAGGAACGGCGGTCCTTCGCCCCCCTCCCCTCCCGCGCTTCAACTCCCGCCCGCCTTTCGCTTCCCACCACAGTCGCCACAGGCACCAATTCCTTCGAATACCAAGAGAGCGCGCGAACGGTCCGCCGACCCACCCCACCGCCGGGGAGAATGCGAGAGAGAGAGAGAGAGAGAGAGAGAGAGAGAGAGAGCAGGTGCTCCGAAGGAGGAGCCATCCATTCATTCACTCACCCGTCCTCGGTGGGAAAAGGCGGGAGCGCAGCCGAGGCGCCGCCCTGGGGGCAACAGGGCAAGAAGAGCACCAGGAGCAAGAGCGGGTGCACGGCGGAGCGGCGGAGCCCGGGCTGCTCCTGCGCGCGCTCTCGCTGCCCATGCCCGGCGCCCAAGCTGGATGCGGGGAAGCTCTGCGAAACCGTAGGAAAGACAGACAAGACAGACGGAAAGCCGGTCGAGAGAGAGAGAGAGAGAGAGAGAGAGAGAGGGAGGGAGAGAAAAGACTTAAGCTGGAGGGGGCTCGCGCAGGCGCGCGGCCGACGAGCGGCACCGACGACAGTCGGAGTGGGGGGTGGCGGGGTGGTTGGAAGAGGAAAGCGTGGCCGGCTGGGCTTGCCGGCTGTGGTGGTGACGGAGAGGAGGCGCGCGGGGTCGCGCGGCGAAAGGGGGAGCCCTGGCGCTGCTCCGGGAGAGAGAGAGAGAAAGAGAGAGAGCGGTTGCCGTCACGGTCTTTCCCCCTCTCCTGCCGCAGCGAGGCTCGCCTCCGGGGCTCCCGCCCAGAGGAGCCTCAACCAGCCTCTCTCCCGCTCGGCGGCGCCCCCCTCCCCTATTTGTTAACTGAGGCGGAGGCTTCCTTGGAGCATTTCTAGCCTCCGCGACCCCGCTCCCTCTTGTCCCCCTTTGAGGCGAGCCCTTCAGTTGGAAGGCGGGAGGCTTCCCACAAAGGTCCTTCCGCAGAAGAAGGGCCGAGCCGAAATTCCCGTCTTTCTTATCTTTCCCATTCCTTCGCGCTCGCGCAATGCTGCCCGGGGTGAAGGGAATAGCTAACCTGCTACGGCTCTTCCTTGCTCGCGGAAGCGCAGAAGAGAGCCGGGCTTGTGCAAAAATCAAAGGGAAAGCCAGGGCTGAGCTCACGATTCGTTGCAAGATGAGATGGTGGTGTGTTTGCTTTTTTTTTCCCCCATTGCTGCAATGGATGGTCCCCTTTTTGTTTGCTTGCTTGCTCGCTCTCCCTCCCAGAAACCCGCGTTTTTACCTTTTGTTCCCAACAAACGAAATGCCTTGCAGGCGAGCGGGCCTGGGAAGGGCGAGAAAAGAGCATCTTTTTAGAAATGTAAAGAAACTTGCGATTCGGCGCCAGCCTCATCGCTTTTGAGAAACAAAACCCTTGCAAAGATGGGTAGATGCCGTAAACGGATGCCCGGGATGAGCTAGGGAAGTCGTGCAATAAGGCAGATCCCTAGGATGCGTGGATGTGCCTGGGCTTTATTGACTTTAGTGGTAAGGGGGAAGGATGCGTGGGAGAATTGGTAAAAATTGGTCCGTTTTTAGGATTTGTGAGGAGTTATCCAACCCATGGCACCTTCCTTCCTTCCTTCCTTCCTCTGATGCCCTCTCCATCTATGATTGCAATTCCCATAGCATCTAGCCAGCATGGTTTCCTTGCAAACTGTACTCTTCAACTGGGTAGAAGTTTTTGCTTGTATCACTGCAGGATTGCAGAGTTTGATAAGACTGCAGATGGCGTATGATGAGATTTAGTATCGTTAATAAACATAATTAATACAATCTTCCAATCTTCTGGTGCTGCCTACACACTTTTACTATAACATGCAAATTAGGCAAGGAGGAGAAACAACTATGAATATCAGCGAGTACTGGCTCATGTTCCCCAGAACATTCCTTGAATGGCACTTCTATTTTGAGTCAAGTGTTCCTTATCATCTTTATAACATCAGTGTTTTAGGTCTATGCTTATTTGGGCCATAGCTAAACTGTAATTGAAGTGCCACCATTTCCTATTTCATTTTTAGCTAACCAGACTATTTACTGTTCAGATGTGTGTTTGAGTACATGCAAGGGAGGATTATACCTCTGGCAGAGTGGAAGTTAGAAGAGATTATGTTAAAATATAATTTGAGAGTATTTTAGAAGTTGCAAGGCTGCTTGTAATTTTAGCTGCAATACAGTTGATCACAGCCACTCCTGCTAGAAGTCACTAAATGTAAAGTGGGCAAAATAAACACAAGGTACTTCCGAATAAGGAAAAGCTTACAGAAAACTGCTATGAGCTAAAAGTGGAAAAAGTTGCTATCTTCATGTTCCAGTTGAAAGGTTTCCAAGAAAATTTCCCTGGCCAATCATTAAAATAAAACTGGATTATTTGAATGTTAGACCTGATCTAAGATTCAGGCCTCTTTGTAGGGTTTCTTTTTTCCTCCTCCATATTTTTTAAAAATTAAGAATATACTGTATAAAACTAAATATGACACTGTATGATGCAGTAAAGCACGGGTGTCAAACTCGCCACGTCACGTTGCCATCAGGTGACATTTCATGACGTTTTTCCCATTCGCGGAGCTGGGGTGGGTGTGGCCTCCATGTGATGCATCCAGCCCACAGGCCGCCAGTTTGACACCCCAGCTGTCAAACTCATAATCGGGGATATGGCTGGGCAATTGGAAGAAGGAAAATATTTGCTGGAGTTTCATTTATTTCTAATCTCAGTTTTGAATCTGTGATTCTCTAGTTTTAAAAAGAGAATAAAATGCATATATTAGGGGAAAGTGCTTAAATATATATCTTCATCAATCAGTACTTTTAATGGTGTTAGATTTTAACATCCCATTGATGGGATCAGCTATATCATCCGGAGTGTAAATTTATCAAGGGAACACACTAAATAGATCCACTGGAAAAGGAAATGGGGGTCCACTCAATTGCCAAGAAAACTAAATCACCATTTACAACCCCGATTGTGTCAAAATTATAATGGAAGATGAACTTCCAAGACTGGAAGGGGTCCAGCGAACTACTGGGGAAAAACCAGGGAAGGACAAGTAATACCAGTGCTTATGACATGGCTGAATTAAAGCAAACAGGATGACTAGCTGCTGATGTGACAAAAGGAAAGCTTGATGCTGCCAAGATAACTGGGCTCTGTGTTAGATTCCTAAATCAAGGCAAACCTGATGTTTAGAGCAGAAACATTAACATTCATGTGAGTTTAAGAAGTCTTAATAAGCAATTCCCGACAAATTATTGTGACAAAAATAAGTTGGAGATGGACTGAACTAAAAAGGATTTTAAAATAAGTGTATTACAAAATGGAAATTAGAAAAAAAATGAAAAAAAATGGACAAAACTGCACAGATAAATGTAAACTAGGAAATTTTTAGTTGTTTTCTTCCAGTACACATTTTTCAACAAAATGAAGCATGTTTTTGTAATAACACAACTTCCTTTGCAATCATCAGAATTCTAGGCATCGATTCTGGTTGAAGGGATGCTTGGATTAAATGTTGTTCTGAGTCAGAAGATACTACAATTGAAACATGACTGACAAGTGCCTGAATCCTAAACAATTATTTCTTAGAAAGCTCAGAAGATGGTCATTTTGCCAGCTAATCAAACAACTTGTTCTACTAAGGCATTTGCACATTTGTATTATGCAAAATTGTTAGATTGTAACAATGGTTTTAAATGACATTTGGTAATTATTTCTGGTTTTATCCCTTCATTATTTTCTTTCGGTGTTTGTGTTTTAGCTGTTAAGTTTTACTACTTAACAGCTTGAAGTGCATTTTATATGCCTTCAGATTTTTTTTGACAGGTGGTAGACAATGGTCTGAAAACCTCATTAGTTACATGAAAGTGAGGTGACATTAGAGTTTCAATTTCAAATTTATTTTAAAGTCTGCATGCAAAATTCAATAATTTGGCCAGATATGTTTGTACATGCAGTAGATAAGTATACCTATAGGTGTACATATACACCTGTGCTTTCAAAGACTAGTATGATCCTGGCTTCCTAAAGCAGTTTTCTGAAAGGTTGAAGAATGGAGAACCCCAGAAGAAAGAGGTCTGACAATGCTGTCTGGTGAGTTGGAGGGGCATGGTAGAAATGGAGGTGTGATATTTGAGGCAGAATAATAGATCTGCCCCAAAATCCTGATTGACATATTAGTAACAATCATAGAAATCTGGACTGGGAAAAACCATTTAATTTTGTTCTCATCCACAACAATCTCCAATCCTCTCAACAATAATCTCTGCTACTAGTATCGTTTTTTTAAAATGCAATCATTTGTTCTCCACTGTGGAGGGGATGTTATCATTTCCTGGGTTTGGGAACTATGGAGACATTCAAAAGGTTTCATGTCACATGGAATACAGCTCCATCTAGTTCTCACTTAATGATGCTAATTGCGATCAGAATTTCCATCGCAATCAATGTAATTTCTCTAATTAGGAAAAGCTTAAGCCTCCATTGGCTAACTAGACTGATTTCTTCATTTGGCATAATTTTGGGAATTGTGGCTGCTATTCTTCTTTTGATGTTCTTAAGAAAACAGTAACTGAATAAGAATGCTTTTAATTATATACTTCGCTAACAAGTGCATTCACTTCATACATTGAATCAACTTGAAACTGAGTTTTTCATTAGTTTTATAGGATCTTTGTTATTTTTATAAGGATAGCAAGGCAGTCTAATTAGTATTACCAAGACAACGTGTTGATATTATTAGGAAGTAAGGTTTTTACAAACATAAACCCCCTCTCAAATGCCAGTCGCTATTAGGCAAAATCAGAAAAAATGATTTATTTGCAAACGTTACATTACACTTTGTTATTGTGTTATAGTAATATAACTATATATAGTTAATATTTTTTGAACTTTTATTTTATCCAACTGTCCACATCTTTATAGTTCAGTGAAGACAAAGCTCAACATTAAAATGTGTGAATTTTGGTAGCATTGCTGTGGCTCTTAATATTATATGGTCTTACTTGCCATCCAGAATTTTTTGCTTCATGCTGGAAAGTATTAAAAGAAGTTGATGTAGAAGTACCTAGTCTACATTATTTTTGCATTCAGGAGATTTGATTATTCTGTAAAATGTGTCATTTGCTGGGAGCTACTTAAAAGAGTTAACTATGGTAGTGAGAGAGCTCAGCATAATTGCTGCTTAGAGCTAAGATTGAGA